TCCCACCCTTGTTACCTTATAAATACCTCAAAGTGGCAAACATACATAATACTTCCTCCTCCTCCAGTTTTCCTCACAACAGCAACCCTGAGAAGTAAGTTGGGCTGAGAGAGAGTGACTGGCCCAAAGTCACCAGCTAGCTTTCATTTCAAGGGAAGATATTTTTTTTGTCCCCAATGGCATTAGATAATCTCAAATTCTACTGCTTGGGGAAAAACGTTTTTTAGTCCCTCTGTGAATGTTTCACACTCTTGTTAGTCACTGTGTTTTACAGGTAATCCTTGATTTATGGCCACATCTGTGACAGGAATATGAGTCGTGGCCAATTTTATGACCTTTTTTGTCATGGTCATTAAGCAAATCATGCAGTCATCTAGCAAATCCAGATTCTGTCATTGACTTTGCTTGTCTGAAGCCTCTTGGAAAGGTCACAAATGGCGATCAGGTGATGGTGGGATTCTGCAATCATCATAAAAACATGCCAGTAGCCAAGCACCAGAATTTTTATCATGTGACCGTGGGAAAGATGCCATAGTCATAAGTTTGAGGAACAGTTGTAAGTCACATTTCTCAATGTGTAACTGAATGGTTATTAAATGAACAGTCATAAGGTTACCACTACTTGTCTGAATGAAAGATGGCCAGTTATTCAAAGATGGCTAGTTATTCAAGCATTGCTACTTCAACCCAGTAAATTTTAATATTCATATATCTTGTATATTTTCAAACTGTAATCTCTCTTGAGAATGGCATTCAGTATTATAAACATTATGATAACTAGGCTTGAGTAGGATTATTAATTTTGCAGTGTTAAATTTCCTTCCTGGCATAGTATACTGTAATTTTTGAAAGAATCTACCAGGTGTAGATTCCCTATAATTATGCTTATCTTTTGCTTGATGTATATCACATTGCACTCACTAGTCACTAGAAATTTCAGTTTCATTTTACTTCCAAGCAGGCAACTTTAGAGAAAACAGTTCTTCAGGGCTTTTTCTGCCACTCTGATTTTATCATGCTGAATAATTTGATGTATCTACACATAGGACTATTTTATTAGTTACTCTTAAATATATATCATATATGTAACACTTAAGAGATTTGACTTTATTTAGTGAAATAATTATTTAGCTTTATCAATTTAGATTACCTTACCAGAGTATGTGCACTATCTTTGTAAACCAGCTTTTAAAATATATGCCATTCTATCACATTTTGTTATGATTGTTTAAATTCATGGTAAAGATTTTTTCAAGACTCAGTAATTATAAATCTCTATTCTCAGTGCTGAGGTTTACTGGTTTAATAATTTTAATACTTAAAATTATTTCACATTCAAAAAAATTTTCTATTTTAAATTACAGCAATTTTCTGAACATACTATTGAACTACTTTATGTTTCTAAGTAATTTATTTGTTTCTATCCTGATTAGATCCTATATATGATTTGGGTTTAAATAAATCACCTTCTTTAGAGGCGCTGATCCAATTGGAGATTACAGTTGATCTGTACTTCTGCTCACAGCAGGATTAAAATGGAATAGAGATTTAGCCTAATCCACCATTCCACTGTGAACTTGGAAGGTTTTGCATATCAGAGACTGTCTATATGTACGGTATCATTTCCAGAAGACTGGTCATGTAAGTTGTTGCAACAAAAATAAAAAGCTGAAATGCCTGAAAATTGTTATGACATGACCTTTCAAGGACTGTCATCAGTTTCATCTGTTGCACAGTACTCTGTACAAAAGCTTCATGACACTTTTGTATTATATTGATATCTGAGGCCTTTCAACAATGGAATCATCTCAATTGTTAGAGCAACTAAAAGAGAATGAGACAAATGAGTGGTTGCAAACATGAAAAATAAGTGGAGCTTCGATCCCACCATTGCTGCTGCCATCTTGCCTTTTTTTTTTTAATCCTAACCTAACACGGACATTTCAGGAACACACAGATAGCCCTTGACTTATAGTGATAATTGAGCCTAGAATTTGGGTTGTAAGTCATTACAATTATTAATCAAGTCACCTCAGTAGTTAAGAAACTTGTGACATTAGGCAAACCACATGATTGTTAAGCAAATCCAGCCACATCTAATGAGCACTTTTTGGCTGCATTCTACTGTAAAAAAAAAAAAAGCAAAAAACATAGCAGATCTTGTTGACATGACTCTATGACACTGCAGCTGACCTGGTTGCGACCTGGTTGCCAGTGCCTACAATCGTGATCACATAGGAAGGTGTGCAGCAGTCATAATATCCAAGAACAGCTTGTAAGAAGCTTTTTTGAAGACTATCATAACTTCAAATGGTCGTTAGGCAACCAGTTGCTATTATCTTTCTTTTCTCTTCTGAGTTTCATAAATATTACAGTAAAACTATGTGGTATATTTGATTTATAATTTTATTGGATTTATTGGAGTTTATTAATATAAAGTGAGGTCACATTCGGTACTCTAGGTGTCTATTTTTATACTGGATTCATCCAAAAATTTTGTTCTGGATATAGTAGAACTATGAGTTATTATTTCTGGGTCAGAATTTCTGATATACCCTAAGTTATTGAAGCAAACTCACTTGTAGAGATTAGGGAGTTTGTTCATTTGTTGCACAAACAACAAACTTCCATTGCAAAGTTATTCTATGAATGTGCTGTAGTTTTAATTATCTGATCATTAAGTATCTGTGGCTCCTCCTTATCATTCCCTAGGCAGCTTCCTTTCAATTCATCCCTCAAGGTCATTCCTCCTAAGGTTATAATTTACAAACAAGATTTGCTTTAATACAGACGTGCACATTTAACTGTAAAACTTTGGTTTTCTAGATCAAGGGTCACCAACCTTGGCAACCCTAAGACTTGTGGACCTTAACTCCCAGAATCAGCTCAGCAAAGTTGGCTGAGGAATTCTGGGAATTAAGTCCACAAGTCTTAAAGTTGCCAAGGTTGGAGACCCCTGTTCTAGATTATATAAGACTGATACTATTTTTATTATTACATACACTTTTATCACTGTGTTAGATCCTTTGTCTTTAAGGTTATTTTCAAAGATTGAATGTCAAATCAAGTTTATGCTACTATGCTTTTAGTGATAATTTGAATCGTTTTTTTTTTAACAAAGTGAAAAATAAATCCATGGACCAGAATTTGATGATTGAAGTCTTGTTTGTTTACTTGTAATTTTTGTTATTGTTACTGCAGCAATATATTGCATCTATTTGGTAGCATTGTTTTGATGATGTAGGTTCAAGCTGTCATTATTACAATGCCATTTACTCTCAACATGTATGCCAAGCCTTTTTAAATACTTTATAATTAAACACTAGAACTTGTGCCAAAAAATATGAATGAGCTAGTGTATTGCTAGTTGAAATAAAAAGCCAAACCAGCCAATTGTAGGATTCAAGTGCTACCTGTTGAAAATCAAATTAATTGGCAGATGTTTTGTAAAGAAAGCTTTACAAGTAACTAAAAGTAGTTCTTTGTCCTACTCATAGGTACTGTTTCTTTATTAGAATGGCTGAAATTAAAACAGGAAAACATTATTCGTTGATACAGAGCTGAATTAGTCAGCCTTCTAATTATTTAATGAGTTAGGAACTGGTAATTGGATTATTTAAGAGGAATGTTAGCTCTTACTCAATTCTTTGTAAGGGGATCTAGGATGATCATGTCACACTTCAGTTGTTAATTCACAATAGACTTTCATTTGCTTAGCATTTTTTATGGCCTGTAACTGTTTCCATATGAAATAGCTTGTTTTACCTCAGTAAAATATGACTTACTCCTTCTGAAAATGTTTTGGTTGTGGTTTTTTTTTTTTGTTTAGTTGCTTTTAGTTGTTCTATACTATGTGACAATGTACCGCATGAGGTATTAGAACATGGCACTTGCCAGATCCCCCCCACTATTAAAAATTACTTATTCTTATGGCATTTCAGTGAGCCACAAAAATACAAACTGCTAGCGTATATTATAGACTGTTACCAATAAAATATTCTCGATTAATTTATTAGTAAATAAGTGTATCTATAGTGGAATAACTTGAAACTATTATACCATAATGGTATTACACCCGAATATCCCTCTGATTTGAAGTGAAAATGTAGAACTAAAAAGTGAATCTGTAGTGTTGAAAGCTATTGCTGCAAATCCATATTCATTATAAATTTAAGCAAATTGCCCAAATAGTCAATGAAGCTATTACATTTTCTTTACAACATATAGCAAAATCATAAATTAGAATGTCCTAATGGTTTATCGGTATTGCTGGTAACATTTAGGCTCATATGTTGACTATGTTGTATTTCTTCAGGCCCAGCCAGCCATTTCTTCAGTTCTTAAGCATAGTCCCTCTCTACAAAATATTGTCCATCATTACAATTTTAGGCATTTGTCACATTTTCCAAAATAGAAAAGTATATAAAGATTTTAATTCTAATGTATTTCTGATGTATTTATTTCTTATTTCTGAACTGTGGAATAGGTGGGCTTTAATCAGCAAAATTAAAAGGTAGAGTTTGAGCTTTCATCTAATTGTAGAACAGATTATATGCATTGTACATTATCCAGGTTATAAATTGCAAACACAGATAATAGGTCAATACAGAATGTACAGAATCTGTACATTTTGTATATTATTATACATTATGCATAAAAATCCTAAAAATGTTGTGATAAAAATGCAGTAACCTGTTGCTTGGCTAATCACTATTTCTCATCAGAGATGGCCTAAATTTATATGGCGCAGGTATCTTTTGCGTACTTTGATTTTCCAATAGATTTTTTTATAGAGCTGCGGTTGAGAATCAGTGATATAAAGCAGAAAATATTTAGTGGACAGTGTGACACATTTCTAATTGTAATGCTGCTATCCAGTATCCTTATAAAATATGTCAATAGCAATGTAGCTATCTAATAAAAGTACTTGTGTTTAGAAGGATTTGATTACCTGTTAAAATTACTTTGAACAGTGTTTCATGTAGATATATATGTTTTAGTTTTTATGCAGATTTTGGACCTTTAAACTTGGCTCTGGTGTATCGATTCTGCTGCAAATTAAACAAAAAATTAAAGGTAAGAATGTCCTTTTTATTATTTTTATTGATCTTGTTAATCTCTGTAAGCTTCCAGAGGTGGAGGTGAGTGCTTGGCTTTGGTAATTGATTTTTTAAATAGTAATTTTATAAAAATTACACTGAATAATAAAAACCAATACAAACTAAAAAGAAAAAGTAAAAAGTGCAGAAAAGAAGAAAAATGAAAAAATATAGAAAAGAAATATATAAAGAAATGACTTCCTCCTTCATAACAAGTATAAACAATTTTAGTAACATTACCTTCTTCTCCAGCACATCGATTGGAGAATCCACATGTAGCAATGTAGCTATCTAATAAAAGTACTTGTGTACATACATGCCTTTCTGCCCAGAGACTGAGTCCTTCATATTTTTTTTACTACACCCCTCTGTCAACTGTCACTTTCCCAGTTCACGACTCATTCTGCCCCTAAAGGGACATGGCAAAACAATTGGCTCTCATCTTTAGGCAGAAATGCTGAGATTCTCCAGTCAATGACTTTCGGTTAGAAATTGTAGCCTGCTCATAATGCTACTGCGGTCCTAACACGCTCGCTGAAGCCGCCCTTTCTATTCTCTGTCAAAAAAAGCTCACCCTTAATCAAATAAACTAATTTTATACTCCTTCCTTTTAACGATTATTGATCTTTAAGTCCTTCAAATAGGGTCATAAATCTTAATTTCTTTCCAATATTTTTTATTCCTTCTCACAGAATTATTCAAACTTCTAACAATATTTTTTGTAAATCAAACAAAAGAATATTGTCCAGATCACTCTCTATGCTGGTCCTTTGTATATCTCCTTTAATTATAAAGACATCAGCTGGTTTCTTTTGTAGCCTGTGATTTTTAAAACCACTTTCAGATCAGCTTTAATCTGGTCAAGTAAAACTTGCTTCTCATAAGGTATTTTAAACACAATCTGTCTAGAGTAGCAGACACATTTAACTTCTTAACTTCAAATATGAACTTCAATATATCCAATGTTAGAATATTCTGCTTCATTCTATATTTGTAAGTCAAATTTAAATATTCTTCTCCTTTCATTATAATCTTTGGTTCCTTCTGGTTCCCTTTAGTGTCCAACCATCAAAGTCTGTACTATTATTTTTAAAAATTTAAAACAAGTATTTTCCAACAGGAAGATTCTTATGTCAAAACCATCTGGACCCTTAGTTCCTTTGTGATCTTTCATCACCTTTTTGCCTTTTATTAAAAAAAAATTAAGTCCCTAAACTTGTATTTAAAAGTTTTTCTGCTAAGGATTTGTCTTTCCCCCAACAGTAAATATCAAACCTGTATAAATTAATATGCTTCTGTATCATAATACCCAGATGAATTAAAGAAGCACTGTTATAAATAAATAAGTGACTGATGGCATGCTATATTTGTGAAGGTGGGTGAGCTAAAATGGTTTTGTAAAGAGTCTGTCTACCAAACTTCAATCAATATTTTGTGTTGTAATTAGTGGAGCCTTCCCAATATTATAGTACTCTAATAGAAGCTGTGGTTTGTCCAGCATTTAATGAAAGTGGGAGAGGCTGTTCTAGGAATATATTAAAACTTTTAAAACATCTCTAGTGCTGCCCAAAGTTTGCATATTTTGCCTAATAAGACAAAAATTCTGCATAACTTCAGTTAATTCTTATATTGAAAGTGAGCTTGGTTAATTACTGTTAGAAGAACTTGCTGGAGCAAAACAAACTGTGCATGTTCTGACCAGTTCCTGCATCATGTGTGAAAGCAACGTGATAAGTAAACATGTTCCATCATAAATATTCACCACCTATCTAATCATTTAAAGATGTATGAAATACCATAGCTGAGATCATTCAGGATAAAATTCTGAGCAGATAAGTTTAATTTTTCTAAATAAAGCAACAGACTTTTGTGGTACAAAAAAGAACTGATTTACATTTATTACCTCACTGAAATATTAAAGCTGTACAAAGTTTTGTTTATTTGGGCATATAGTGCAGTTCTACACAAATATCTTGGGACTGTGCCATGAATTCTAGATAAAAATAGTAAATAGGATTTGGCTGCGTGCTAACTAAATGTTCAATATATTGCTTCATGTGGAGATTAGATCCTCTTAATGATGATATGAACAGTATGTTTACTAATAAAGTTAAGATCTCGTCCACCTTTAAAATCATACTTAAATTAAATTCTCACCTTGTTGTTTGCTCATCTGCAATATAAAGATTTTCCTTCATAAGGGATTGTGTGAAACAATGTATGTAATTTCTTCTCTTCTTTCCACCTAAAAATAAGTTGAAAAGGTAGTCCTCAGGTTATGATGACAATTGGGAATGGAATTTCAATCACTAAACTATGTCCTAATGTATGACATTCCATGACTACATCCCTTAGTGATGGTAGTTGGTAATACCAGCAGTCCCCAATGCCATCATTATATGCAGTTTGTTAGGCAAGGACCTATGTGACCACAATTTGGAAAGAGGCAATGAAATTGCATCCCAGGAAAGCAGGGTGATGGACTATGGAGTATGACCGTGTGGCCAGTTGCCATGGTGAGCACTACAGTGTATGGACAGATGGGCAAGCACTAAGTGCAGCTGGGTACTACAGAGAATGAGATTCCCATAATCCCCCAGGAACTCTTCAGGAGAAAAAGCAATGAAAGTAACTTTCTGATTTGTGGCCTCCTGCTGGCTTCCCCATTGTTTTTCTTTCTGGGGAACCTGTAGGGCAGGTCACAAGTAGTGGTCTGGTAGTTAAGGCACCAGGCTAGAAAGGAAGTTATTTAAATGTATAATAAAAGCAACATAGAATTTCAGTTTTCATATCAGCAGTGATTTAAGCATGAAAACTAGTAAGTAATAAAATAATGTCTCATGCAAATTCATGCTATATGCATGATGTTTATGATGTAGAACTCCATTGTTACAAAAGCTGTTTTTCAAAAGAATTGAATAAAAGTCATCTTACTTACTGGAAAAACAGTGTATTATATGTGAAATACACAGGATGATTTGGGAGACTTGCAAAATTCACTATATTCTGCTTCAATGAAATAGAATTCTAGAGTTCTATGGTCTGTCTTGTAGGGCTGATACCACCGTCTTGTGAGAAGCCCACTGACAAAGCATGAGTGCAATTGCATCCTTCTTCCTATTTGCTTGTTTTGAGGCATATATTGCTTCTCATGCAGGTAGTCCTCAACCTACAACCACAATTGAGCCCAAAATTTCTGTTGTTAAGTGAGACATTTGTTGAGTGAGTTTTGCCCCATTTTATGATCTTTCTTGCCACAGTTGTTAAGTGAATCACTGCAGTTGACAAGTTAGTAACCCAGTTGCTAAGTGAATCTGGCTTCCTCACTGACTTTGCTTGTGAGAAAGGCGCAAAAGGTGATCACATGACCATGGGACTCTGTAACAGTCTTAAGTATGAACCAATTGCCAAGCATATGAATTTTGATCGCATGGTCATGGAGATGCTACAAAGGTGGCAACTATGAAAAACAGTCATAAGTCATATTTTTTAGTGCTGGGGTAACAATCATTAGAACAGGCATTAGACGAACTGTTGTAAGTCAAGGATTACCTGTATTCTGGATAAATTATTGCTATCAAGACCAGTGTTTAGAATTAATGCCTATTCCTCCTTATTCTGAATACTCATTTCTTTAACATTATTGCTAATATACTTTGGTTAATGTTGGGTAGATTTAAAAAAAACAACTACCTGTTTCATTGTCCTACTTGTTATTAGTATGAGAGACTTAAGATTCAACATGGATAATTTGCTATATAGTAAAGAACAAATTGAAATTGCAGGCAGGCAGATGATTTACACCAGACATGCCCAACCCACAGACGCATGTGGCCCTGGACAGCTAATAATGAATTCTCACAAGATTGTAAACATTTAACATTATTATGTGATTGATATATATTAACTATGTTATATATTTTATATGTAACAAGATATGTATAATATCTTGCCCACATCTTCACTTGATGTGACCAGACCAGTGGTCCCCAACCTTTGCAGTTTGGTGGCCCAGCTGGGGATGGAGGGGAACTGGGTTATGTGACTGGTGGGCTGGTGTGCATATGCACGTAGCTCGACATTTGCAAGTTGAGCTGCGCACAGGGGTGTGTGTGCACCGGCCCACTACTTGTGCAAGGAGCTGCGTGCCCGTGCACCAGTCTGCCACTCACGTGGCCCAGTTCAGAATAGGCCACGGCCGAGTAGTGGGGTGTGGCCCAGTGGTTATGGACCCCTGACCTAGATAAGCTAAAATTTGGTTGCCTATGATTTAGTCATTTAATTATGAAGCACAGTAATCTTAAAGGAAGAATTGCCTTAGAATTCATGAGATAGGAGTGGGTGGATATTTTGATTCACTACCTCAAGATTCAGATTAACAGAGGGATTAAAGAATTGCATTATATGGGGGAGGGTTAGGGAGCACTTTCTTTATACTTTGGTTTAAATTTGATCAGGATATAACCTGATTTAACCTGCCAGAAGTCTCTTAAACTGATGAGTCACTGAGCTGAGACATTTGGCATAATTTTGTGGTCTGCTCCTAATCTGTTTATTTATTTGTATCTTAAACAGTCCTTCAGTCTATCAAGAAAGAAAATTGTGTATTATACCAGCTTTGACCAACGGAAAAGAGCAAATGCAGCATTTTTAATAGGTGCATACGCAGTAAGTATCAATAGCTGTGTGCATTTCTAATGAGAAGTTGCTGACACTTCAGTCTCTAAATAGATACAGCAAAAGCTAGCATCTCTGCTTTTTCAGGATTTTAAGAATCCCGAAAGATTCTTAAGAGCAAGAAGGCTCTGGAAAGAAGCAGTTCTTTCCATTTGCATTTTTAAGCTGCTCCCAACCATAAAAGTGTTGCCTAAATTACTACTTGGGAGGGAATGGACATGATCTGCCTCCCACAGGCTTCCACATTCATTCCCATCATTTATTCCCCCAGCCATTTAGAGAGTTGCAAGAGAGATTTGAAGGGTGTAGTTGGGAGCAGGGAGATTATGCTATCAACATAGGGTGGCAAATTATTGCTGAATTTTGATGAAGTTTTCTTGCTAGATTATAGCATCAGGACCGTTGGGGCCTGCAGGCTCACTCTTACAACTTTGGCTTTTGTTTTCTTGTAGATGTTTTACCTACGTTTTTAAAATTAAGAAAAGTTATTTTGAGAAATGAAACCTTTCTTTGGGAGGTGTTTTTACATGAATGATCAAAATTGTAGAACTTGAACAAAAGCTAGTATTTTGTGATTTAAGGGCTTTGTGTTATGTTTTACAACATTCATGTAGGTCTTTATAAATATACAGTGCTGTTAATTTAAATAGGTAACATATATATCCTGTTGGCTTTGTATTTATAATAAAATAAATGTTCTACAAAATGATGCCTCTGTGTTGACTGAATGAAGTGAAATGGAATTATGAATAACTTTTTATATAAATAACTCACGTTCTTAATCTTCCTTTTAAGATAATCATGTTGTTAATTGAAATAAATGAGCTTATTATGAAGCAGCAAAGCATGTGGCAAGCAAAGAACAAAATTGAAGTTCTACTCTATCTTTGTATTTAAGAAAGCAAGGAATAATAGTATGAGAACTATGTTTGCCTTGAAAATGATTCGCAATGAAAAGTCAGATGAGATAGTTTCACTCATTGGTCTTGTGTTGTGTGAGTAAGCTGTCTATCCTCTTTAGCATCTAATCTTCATCCAGGTTATTTAAGGGTTCTGGTACAGATTTTTTTTCTAGTCCTCCTACAGGAAACCTTTTCACTTCAGATAAACTAGGCCAAGGCCATATCTTCGGAGCAGCTTCTTGCTTTTTTGTTGCAAACTGTAACAAAACACAGTGCAATTTTACTGGCATTTTGTCTCTCTTTTTTAATTTAAAGCCTTGTGTTGAAAATTCCAAGTATTTTAATTTAAACATTGATAGCAATAATAACAAAGCAATTTTAATCTATATTAATATTGTTTTTCCTCCTGTTTATTTATAAAAAGTTTGATGTAAACATATAATCAGAGTTGGAAGGGACCTTGTAGGTCATCTAGTCCAACCCCCCGCCCAAGCAGGAGACTGTACACCATTTCTGACAAATGGCAGTCCAATTTCTTCTTGAAAGTCTCAAATGATGACACTCACTTTAGTACCTCACTTGATCTCGATTGTATTGTATTCAGTGCATACAATTTGAAATAATACTAAATACAATAAAAGGACACCCTAAAAACTGAAACACTTGGATAAGCTTTTACTCTATTTTAACAAATCTGTACAGTCTTCTGTATTAGTAGATATCTCTAGCTGCTGTTCAGGGATGTGAACAAATCGGGTGTTTTGGAGAGGATATTTTACAAGTGATGTTGTAATGTAGAGAGAATAAGCAAATACAGAATCCAGGCAATTAACCAAACACTAAATCAGTATAGCTGAGATTTGTTCCTGACAATAAAAGCTGCTGGTGATGAATAATCCAAATAAACATTAAAGAAGAGCATGTCTTATCTATAGAATCTACATTCATATTCAGAGTAAATTTTTCTAATCAATTCAGATTTGGCAATTTCCCCATAAGTTTATGTTTGAAACTCTTGCTAGAATATGATGGTTTTTAAAGATCTGCTTCAGTATGTCTGGGAGAAATGCTTTACCACTCATTTCTCTACTAATTTTTAAAATGCCTAGTAAATGTTTAATTGTCCTGAAAGACTAGCTCTGTTTCCCCATGTGAACAGTTAGAAGAACATTTGAAGGGCATTTCCGACAGCTGATGCAGCATGCAAAAGCTATAGATTTTGGTTTCCTTGATTATTCAGGGAAAATTTGTGCTTAGCAGCAGTGAGTTATATAAAATCCATACTTTCAATCATAGGGAGATCATTTTCAAAGTTGATTGTAGATTCTTAGTCATATATGAAAATTAAAAACTGATAGGTAAAATTTCGCTGCAGATTGTCTTAGTTTAAACACCACTGATTCAGCAATCTTTTAAATTTATAATGACACCAAACAAGTGTTAGTTAGGACTTTACATGGAGTTTCTGACCTGGCAATGTGCCTGCAGTCATCTAACCATGATCTGGATGCTCAGCACCTGGTTTGCAATTACAACATCATAACAAGCCGTGGTTGCATAAGTGCAATTTCCAATGATCCTGCTGGCTTCTCACAAACAAAGTCATTGGGGAATCCAGCAGGAAGTCAAAAGTCATGATCTTGTGAGGGCCTCTCTTAATGACTTCCACGATCCTCACTTAACGATGGCAACTGAGACTGCCTGGCTAAGAACCATGATCACATAATGTTGTGCTTTATAACCACATTGCTTAACAATGGCAAATCCAGTTCCCATTCCCCTCTTAAACTGAAAACTCCCTCTATTCTACACTTAAATATATTCTTATTAATTAATTCATCACTTTCTTTCAATTAGCTCAGTTCTATGCTTGCACTCATTGCATCATAGTAAATTACTGTGTGCACTCTTATTGAAACATTTTAAAAATACATTGTAGACATTTTTCTGCTCTTTCTAGATATTTCTGTTCTTTCTTCCCATGCTGTGGCCTCTTGCACTGTTTTTTTTTTTTTTTTGTTAAGAAGCTAAATTTAATTTTTTTTAGTTAGGAAGCTAAATTACCATTTAATTACTTGTCGGTGATGTAATAAACTTTTTTTTAAAAAAACTAGACTCACCTCTAATTTTACAGCCTAATGCGGGCAACAAGCAGAAATTAGGTGCAAGTTTTTGATATCATTTAATTATTGTTCTGGCAAGCAGAGCAAAAGCCATGTAGCCCAATTTAAATGTTGCAAGCAGTGTGTAGATGCAAGATAATCTTGTAGTAGGACCAGTATTCCCAACCAACAAGCAGAATCCTGCTTCTCAGATTGAGTGAGTTCTGTACATTTTTCAAGGAATAATTTTGGCTGATTTACAAGACTGATTGTTACAACTACATCATAGTATATATATTACATTCATTTTGAAGAAAACAGAATTGCAACATACATGCACTTGTGGCGATAACCTTGAGTTGAATTAAAAACTGGCAGCATTGCCATAATCATTCTGTTTGGTAAACAGTTTTCTGATACTTGTTTTGCATATATATTATTCTTAGTTAGCATTATTGTACTGCCTTAATGCTAAACAATTGTGTCAAATGAGATTTGGTACATACTAGATTAAATGCTACAAATAGACCTTGTGATGGCTGTCTGTTCTAATTTTTTCTGAAACCTACATTTTAATTATTGTCATTATTCGTAATATAATAAAAATGTTACCAAGGGTTCTTTTTTCCTGTTTCACCCAATTATTATAAGGACAGTGCTCTTATCGACACATTTGATATTTGATACTAAAGAATATGATATCCCGTTCATAACACTTTTGTCATGTCTAAGTGTTATATACCCTAGTCTAGTTTTATCCATGAATTTTTACTTTGTAGATTTTGCCAGATGTGTCAGAAATGGTAATTTGCTTCATCTGCAAAATATCATCATAGCGTTTTCAGTCTATCTTAAAAGCAGTTCTGAAGGTCTCCCCAGATATGTAAGTTAGTATTAGGCAAAACAGAGTCGCATATCAATACATTTGTTTCTAATAGTGGAATCATGCTACAGCGTGTCACAGAGAACATTTCAGGAAGGAGGTCCCTTATCGAATTTAAACTTGACTAACATAGGAATTAAATTGAGGGTCTCAGTCACTTTGAGTAAGGCAACTACAATATGTTGGCAGTCAAGTAGGGAAGGAAAAGCTGGGGAAAAATCAGTCACATTCTTTGGATTTCAAGAAAGCCCCTTCTTTTGAATTCAGATTAAAAATAGAAGTACAGCTAGTCCTCAGCTTTAAGACCACAATTGAGCCCAAAATTTCTATTGCTAAGCAAGACAATTGTTAAGTGAGTTTTTCCCCATTTTACAACCTTTCTTGCTACAGTTGTTAAGTGAATCACCGCAATTGTTAAATTACTGACACAGTTGTGAATCTGGCTTCTCTAATGACTTTGGTTGTCAGAAGGTTACAAAATATGATCACATGACTCTGGGACACTACAGTTGTTATAAATATGAGCCAGTTGCCAAGCATTTGAATTTGATCACATGACCATGAAGATCCTACAAGGGTCATAAGTGTGAAAATCAGTTATAAATAACTTTTTTTCTGTCCTGTTGTAACTTTGATCTGTCACTACCTGAACTGTTGTAAATCGAGGACTATCTGTATAATATGTACTGAAAATGTAAAGGATAAATAAACCAAAGAAATAATGGGGAAAGGTTGGGTATAAATAATTCTCATGACATAAGAAGATTGGCAGAAATGTTAAGAGTCTATCTTACTGATAAGCCTGGAGGCATGAAAGAAAGGAGCTTTAAGAAAAGTTAGGTTTTAAGTGAAACAAATTATAAAAATTGCTTGGCAAATGATACCGCAACACCTGGAGGTAGTATTGGATGAGTTCCCCAGGCCAGACCCTTTGCTATTCAAATATTTGTAAATTATCTGAAGGATAGAATGGAAGGGATTTTTATCATTTTTGAAGATAAGATCAGGTTTAGTGAGATTATAACTTGGACAAAATCATGATTTAAAATTAGGTTAGCATACTTGAATGTTGGGCCAAATTCAGTAGGATGATATAAACCGTTGTAAATCTCTTGAGAATCTCTGCATCTCGGAAGGCAAAATCAGATGTATTGATCCAGTAAAGTTAGGCACAGATAAAATATGCAATTTATGGCAGAGGTGGTATTCAGCAGGTTCTGACCAGTTCTGGAGAACCGGTAGTGGAAATTTTGAGTAGTTCAGAGAACCAGCAAATACCACCTCTGACTGGCCCTGCCCCCATCTATTCCCTGCCTCCCGTGTCCCAGCTGATCGGCTGGGTCTTCTTTCATTGCCCTGCACAGGAAAACAGAGCTGGAAAGCAGGTTAGTAGTGTGGGGAGGGAACAGGATTTTGCAGTAACCTTCCCCAGGAATAGGGAAGGAATTGAGATTTTACAATATTCTTCACCTAGAGTGGGGTGGGAATGGAGATTTTACAGTATCTTTCCCCTGCCATGGCCACCAAGCCACATCCACCATGCCACACCCACCAAGCCACGCCCACAGAACCGGCAGTAAAAAATTTGAATCCCACCACTGAGTTATAGTATATGTGAATGTTCCTTCTGGGAAATATATAAGTACAGGTCAATCCTGGTGACAGATATCAGGTTGTTTGCCCCAAATATAACAGGTAAAAAGGCCAATGCATTCAGAGAATAATTGTTTCAGGATCATGGGAGATAATAGTTACATTGCATTTATCAGACTGCTCTTGAAAATATGTCCAGTTTAAAATGAACATGGAAAAGTTGGATTGGATTCAGAGGAATGCTTTACAATGATAAAGGTCTGAAAGACTGAGGTGACAATCGTCTCCATATATTTAAGACACTGTCCTATGTTGGAGGGAGCAGACTGAGCAAACCCTTCTCTGATGAAACTTTTAAGCAGGGCAAGACCCAATTGGATGAAACTAAATGAGGTGCAACAAGCTGGATAGTAGGAAGAATTTCCTGACAGGAATAGTTATTAAACATGGAACAATCTGCCTAAAGTTCCCTCACTGAAGGTTTTCCTACAAGGAATTCCTGCAATAAATGTTGGATTAGGTAATTATTTTGGAATTTCAAACTCATATTCTGATTCTAGGATGCTTAGATATGAAAAAGGGGTTGGAAAAACATTTCTAAGAAAGTCTGTACATATTATATAGAAATTAGGAATTAAATTCAGGTGATGAGAATGAAGCCACGCATTCACACAGTATCTTTTAATTGCATTTACATGGTTATGCTTTATTTTATCAGAATTCTTCATTGAGGAATCTTTCAACTTAATATTACAAGCATATCATATAGTCTTGAGTGCAAAATTTATTAAGACAAAAGTAATTGATTTTGAGGTGGGCAAGTGTTTTTATTTTAAGAGAATTATGAGTATACTGGTTAGGGTTAGACTATAATAACTGAACTCTTGGAACTGTTTTAAAACAGTTATTGAATAGGTTTATCATATGGAAGCAAACCATTTTGAAAGTGCAGATTCTAAATAATACTGTTGTTGAAATTCTCTATAATTGTATATTTATATACTGTATAATATTTAGGGAAGGGTCTTTCTTTTTGGATGAGAACAAAACTTGGATACTTTTTATAAAATGTGTTAATTCATTACTACAAGTTGATTTCTGTTGTTCATTCTGTGATAGATAGATAGATAGATAGATAGATAGATAGATAGATAGATAGAT